GCGAGTATTCCACCCTGGCCAGAACAGAACGAGAAGACATAACAGTAATCAGTTAGGAGGTTCACAGTTCGGCTTGGAGGTGCTTTGGTTCAGTCTGAGAGAACCAGTTGCTAAAACCATGGCAAGTTGCCCTAATGGCTGTTAGAAAGAAATGCCCATTGTTGACAAATTTCTGCACTTTTTTCTTTTCTTGACAATATCTGCTTTGGAGGAGAAATTAAAAATCATCAAGCGGTTCTTCTCTGGGCTTCGATGCATGTGCTGGTTTGTAACTGATTAATTCAACTGTCAGTCATTTAAAGATTAATCCACTTCTCTTTCTTCCCCACTCTGTTCTTTGTTTCGATCTTATCTGTTAGCGTGGACATAATGCCCTGGAGACTGGAGCTACCTTTGGGTGGTTCATCACAATAACAACTGTTCCTAAATTTTGTTGATAAATGGATGGGTAGACTTCTGAAAAATATATGCTATTATGCAGGACAAAATTCCATTAAAATGAAAAAAGGACCAGCCTGGGTAGGTTTGTATGTGCATCAGAGATCAGTGCATGAGGGATCTTTATTGTATGGAGCCCCTGTGTTTAGAGTCATAGTCACCCTTCATCACGCTAACTTTCTGCTAGGATAACCATGCATATGAGTGAAGGAAAGCATCTCTAGTGTGGAGTCTTGCAGCAAAAAAGGTAGGAAGAGTTGTGTATAAGATTGCTGCTAGAACGGCATCGTAGACAGAATTCTTTGCTTCCTGTTGTGTAGTGTTGCTGCATGCTGACAACAGTCCTGCTTGCCTCTCGTTTGTACATAGAATCCTCCTGAATGAAACACCACCATCTTCATTTTTATTTCGGTGCATGGAAAACCGCAGGAAGGCATATTAACAAGAACTTTGTTAAAATATACTCTAAAATAACCTTAGGGAAGGCTCAAGTTTCCTTACAGGTGACCTGCATTCTTTAGATATGAACATGAACCGTAAGCTCTACGCTTTTTAGAGTAGTGCTGACAGGAAGGTGTGGGGACAAGAGAAAGCTGTCCTGATGACAAGCTCGTATCCAGAATGTAGAGTGACATTAGAAGAGAAGTGCCTTGCAGAAATAACAGCATGTGTCTTTTTTAACATGTGTATTTCTCTAGATTTCTTGACAGGAAGGCCTTAAATCACGAACTTTCTAAACTTTTCAATGAGATGTGGGATATGGATGTTAATTGCCTTATGCCTGGGAGAGACTACACAATTGATTTGCAGGTAACCAATTGCTAAGTCACATAAGGATTAAAGGCAGCATGGTACTGTAGAAAAAGGTGTCTGCAAAACTGCCTTTTGCTAGAAGAGTTGCCTATGCTTCGTCATTTCCACCAGTGGCATAGGCAGGACTTCATAAGGACGAAGAGTCACTTAGGAGAGGGAACAGTACAGAGAACACATTAATGGTCTGCATTACCTGGACATCGGTTACACGTGGAGTCTCTGGTGTCTGTCTTGGGTCCTATGACATTTAATACCTTCATTAGGGGCCTGGAGGAAGAGGTGTAGTGCAGCCTTTCCAGTCTTGCAGATGACAGCAAACTGTGGTGATGAAGTTGGTATGCTCAAGTGCAGGACTTCTCTTCAGCTGGACCTAGGCAGGCTGGACAAATAGGCTACAGAAGGAACATCATGAAATCCAACAGGGACAAATGCAACCAGAAAAGGATGCCCAGAGCAGTTGTGAAATCTCCACCACTGGAGGTTTTCAAGACCCAACAAGATGACACCCTGAGCAATATGGTCAGAATTCAGTGTTGACCACACTTGGAGCAGGACTAGAGATGTCCTGAGCTCCCCTCCACCCTGGATGTTTCTATATGTGTATGACTGGCTGTGTGTATGGTCTAGGTGACAGGCAGCAAGGGAGAAGGGGAAATAGGTCCCAGGTCATTTGGGGGGGAATAAGGGAGGAATTTGAGGAATTCCTGGGTCTATCCTGAAGAGTGTGCAGTAGACAGAGGTGTGGGTGAGGAGGGTTTCAGGGTTGTTGCTGCCAGTCCCAGGGAACTGTGAGGGAGGAGTGGGTATCAGAGGAGCAGCCATTCCACTCCTTGCCAGCTCAGTGTAGTGCAAACACGACCATGTGTTTTGGCCACAAATTGCAGCAGGCCGCTGAATATTCAGTAACCAATTTTGTACTCATACAAGTGCTCAAAGACTTTATTTCAGTGTTGCTTCATATTGTAAAATATGATTTTCTGTTGCTGATAAACTTGAAAAAGGGGTACCTACCTCAGGCCAAAATTTGTGTAGGAAAAACTCCCACGTGGTGTCTCCGTTTCTCAGAACAAGGCTCTAGTTACCCCTTGCCCCTGTTAACAAACTGCTGCGCCTCTTTTCTCCTCTTTCCTTGAGAATGCCATTTTTGTAGCAGAAACTTGAAAACTGTCAGGAAAGCCTTCTCTCTGTTTTGGATTTACTTATTGGTAACATTGATTAAAATGCCCTTAAATGTGGCCAACCAGAAGTCTTTGAAAACTTCAGCGCACCAGGATGCTCCAGTCCTAAACTGGTGGAGCTGCACAGAACTGTCTTGGCATCTCCCTGGCACCGGGGCGATGGCTGGGGCTGCGGTTGTGAAGTCAGAAAGAGAAAACAAAGGCTGAGTCTGAGGGACCCTACTCAGGAGTTGGATTGCTTAAGCATTATCATGGAGCAGAGGAGAATTAGACTGGTTAGCTTGGGGAGTAGGGACTCAGGAGAGAAACAACCCCTCTGCTGCACTGCATGGCCTCATAAAGTATACGTAGTGGATCTGTGGATTACAAACGAACAGAGAAGGAAGATGTGCAAATCTCCTTTTTATTTATTTGTGGCAGGAGGGAGCCTTGGCTCTACATTACTTTATCATCTGTGATGTATCTAGCAAAGCAGCACAGCTGGTCACTGATCAGAATTGAACTATCACAAGGGTCATCACCATCATTGCTGAAAATGAGTCAACAGAGAAATTTCAGGCTCTTAGAATGTCAGAGATTATATCTTTTTTCTTTATCCTGGCAGTTCTTGCTGTAGGTGACCCTGCTTCGGCAGGAGGGTTGGACTAGATGACCCACAGAGGTCCCTTACAACCCCTACCATTCTGTGATTCTGTGATTCTGTGATTCTGTCTTCTCTTGTTTCATAGAAAGACCATTCCCAACAAAGAATCTCGATAGCATTATGGGTTTTGTTCTGATTATTATAAAGGCAGGCACTGTCTCCACTAATGACATCTGACTTCTTTCATTGTTTTACTCTGGTGATTCTCCTAGGGAAAAGCAGGTGCCGCACAGCAAGGTAACAGTGCTGTCCAGGACAGCACAGCCAGACGTCTGTTTCACAATGCAAATGAAGAACGCCTGAAGAGCATAAAAACTTTTGCAAGTGAGACCTGTTCTTTTGTTAATGGTGGAAATGACATGAAGAATCCATGTTGGTTTTCATGTGTTTGCCTAAAATATAACATCATATATAATTTGGATGGTGGTGAGGATCATCAGGCCATATGTCATTTGAAAGTAGTTTCCACATTTGCGTGATCATTACCTGTAGCCTCAGCCTCAGGAAGCACATCGTTTTGTGCCTCAGCCAAAATCTGAATTTCTCTGTGGTTCTTCCACGACAAAGTGAAATGGATGAGACTCCTGTCATTGCTTTGATGTTATTCCATGTATTGAAAAAGACGCCAAAGTCACCTTTCCTCCTTTGCTCGCAGCTTCTAGCCCTTTCAGACAGCATTAGGTCCACAGCTACTTCTTGCATTTCTGTTGGGGGCTATACTTTAAGCACATCTATGAACGTATGTTTCCTTCCCTGATTTTTCTTTTCCCTGGATAAGAAGTTAAGCTGATCAAATAGCCGGCATAATGGGGAGTACCGTTTTTCTCTGTTCCCCCCACTCCTCTCTGAGACACAGAATCCTGTGTCTAGGGAGGGCAGCTCTGGTACCCACTGAACCCTATGCTGAGTCCCTTCAGCTCACTAACCTGGCATGAAATGACTTAGATTTTTTTACCTCAAGTATTTTTCTATCAGCTTGGTGTGCTGAATCAGCCCCAAGAGTCCACTGAGTGTCCAAGCACATGTGGTGAAGCGACAGGAGGGACCAGGTGGTAAAAGGGGTGCAAAGGAGAAAATGAGCCCACCTCCTCAGTGGCCACGCACTCAAGCTCAAGCCATCTCATGTAGGTTTATGCTGCATTACTCCTTTACTGACGTAATGCCCACAAAGCCTTCTGTCAGCATAGCTCAAGTTCATAAGCCTATGTCCATAATTTCGGTGTCAGATACGATTTGTTTGGTAAGAAGGTCATTACTGCTTCAACATTTGGTTCCATAAGGAAGATCACTAGCAAGCTATTTGTCTTAAAAAGAAGTACAGTGGTGATGTGGCCTTGAGCCACCGCTAGGCCTGCACCTGGCAGTGTACCTGAGAATGAAATTTGACATATAAAGGAATGTCTTTCTCTAAGGGCTGTCAAGGCATATTCTATGGCATCTTCTTATGATGGCACTCTCTAATGACGGGATCACAGGTATAATTAGGCATATGGCCTAATTCCACGGAATTCCAGGTGAAGCTTTGTTTGTAGTTGAGCCTCTTGGGTCATTGTCATGACTCCTGGGTACTGCACAGAGAATTGAAAAGCTCAACTTCCCCTTACCCACAGAGTGGGAGAGGACAATGACCTTTTCCTAAATTCCATTATCTGCTGAAAAATTCAGTATTATCATCCATGAAGGAAGACTGATGTAAGTTTGATCCAGTCTTTAATATGAGCAGCAATATGTTTCAAGGTTTGTCAGACACTGAGCTACAGTACACTATTGATTAAACACTCCATTGTAGACCAAAAGCGAGTGAGTCATCAATTTTTGCTCAAAATGAGTCATGTAAAACAGCACATCAACTTACTCTGTTGTCTGGTCCGTGTCACCCCCTACCCCCCAGCTAAAAAAAAGAAAGAAATATTGCCTGATCACTCTAACTACTGGTCTTCACTACTGATGCTGAGGAGTACTGGATATGCTGTTCCAATGTGGTGCCCATGGCAGCAAACAACCATCTGTAGCTCATATTCTTCTATCTTCACTGTTTCACGTGTGACTCTGTCTTCAGCCAGCAGGAAAAGGACGATGTAAAGGGCAAATTCAAACTCTTGTTTGTCTGGATTCGTTGGGTTTTCTTTCTTACTTTGCACGAAACTCTCAATGAAATCTAGCCACAAAGCCTAAATTTGTGTTTGATGATAAAAGTTGAACGTTGCTAGTAAATGCCACAGATGCATCACTACTGCTTCTCTAGATTTTAGAAAGGTTTCTGATACTGTCTCCCGTAACAGCCTCATAGACAAACTGATGAAGTACAGATTAGAGAAATGGATGATGTAATGTGGTAGGCTGAAAAGTGGATGAATGTCTGCAGCTGAAGGCTTGTGATTAGGGACACAAAGTGTAGCTGGGGCAATTCACCAGTGATGTACCCCAAGGGCCAATACTATCACTATCTGATCAGAAAGTCTCTAAACACAATCTGTGTGGGAGAAATGAACACCCAGGTTAGGCCGTAATCTGAGGCTGTCTTTCAGTTCTGTGTGTAACAGGTGGCACTCGGGCTTATATTTACCTAAATCAGGACAACGTAGAGATTATCATGGGCCATATCCATCAAACGTACCTGTCTCCTTCTTTCCTGGCATAGAGCTGGAACCAGATGTCATAGAGCTGATATTTGAAATCAGCAAGGTTTGGCTTTGCTAGGTTTTTTTTAAGCAGATATCCATGAGCTAGCTGAAGGATAGAAAAACAAGATATATACACAGTTTACTTTTTAATTCAGTGTTTTCAGTGACTGCAAAAGATCTGTGTTACTCACTTTCATGACTTCTGTTGCTAAGATGGCATCAAGAAAACAATTGTTTTCAACTATTTCTTCTGGAGTCACCACTTCTGCTACACCAGTTGATGTCTTGTAGTTGTCCAACAAGGAGATAAAGTCGGGGAACTTCCCTGCAGCCAAGGGCCCACGGGTCACATTACAGACCTTGACTGCTCTTCAGAGTCCTTCATCTTCGCATATGTGGCAGGGCAGAATTGAGAAAGCAGCTGAGCTAGCAAAGCCTGGGATGTGATCTCTAGCCTTGACCCATGGCCCAGTTTGTTCCACATGTGCACTGCGTAGTTGTTCTTAAAGAGCTTGTGAAGCGCCAAGAAGCTGATTGCTTCAGACTTATTCCAGCCCCCCCAGGGAATAGGATAAAAAGCTTCTGGGGAAAGAGCACTCCTGCCTTTGCAGCTCATGTTGTCCTATATGTTACTGATGGAGCACCACTTCCTGAAGACACGCATTAGGAGCTGTGGGCCCCCGGTGCCCCCAGATCCAGCTTTTGTAGTTACCTACAGTCCTGCATGCAAAGCTCCATGAACTTGTGTTTGGGCTTAAAGGAAAGAAAGGCCCCATTCAGTACATACTTGGACTGACTACCAAGCACATTGGTGAGGTTCTTTAAGTTCTTAAGCACAATGAAGACTGTGTCCAGGTAGATGCCACCTAATTTCCATGATGGCAATTCTGCAGGCGTCAGACAGGATGGGTAAGAAATAAGGCTCCCAGCGCTGCTGAGCCTGCAAGTACCACTTTGCCAGAGGTGTTCCAGAGAAAAGCTCCAGCAAGTGCAGGGGCCGGACTTCCACATTGGGAAAGCAGCTCAGCAACGAGAAGCCCCAGTGGTTGGGTAACGAGGCGTTACCATTTGCCAAGCCTTTCATGAACACCATGACCCTTGTCCCATGGTGCGTCCGGGCCTCTGACTCCACAAAGCACATGAACAGGTAACTTGGCTTAGTTTGCTCCGAGGTCTCCACAAAATACACATCCCCAGGGGAAGGAGGGGGCCCACCGGCAGTGGGACAGGGAAGGCAAGGCAAAAACTGAGCACACCTGCTTTGTGTGAGCTGGCCCTCAGCATCCTCCCCAGTTCTCCAGTAGAGCATGACAGAAGCAAAGAACACAAATGAAACAGTGAGGATAAACAGAGCCTCGAGCCTGTGGCTCAGCACCATGGTGGTCTGTTTTGGCGGGCAGCTGGACATCCTGGCAGTCTCGCACCCGTCAAAGCCTGCTCTCCCAAGACAACCATTGTGATCTGAAGGGGAGGAAAGAAGAAGAAGGCACTAACAGGCAAGGCAGCAGACCACGAGCCTTGGGACAGTATCACAGCAGAGCAGAACTCTCCTTTCTTCACCTCATTTCCGAAATGGTCTTCTGGCTTCTCCGTATTGTCATAGGGCATGCAGGCCCCACATGAGAAACTACTGCCCACCTTTGGATCCCTCTCTTTCAAACACAAAATAAGGACAAGTGTGTCCTTTCTGTATATTGTAAACCGAGAATGATCCTCAGTTCTGTCCATGTATACTGTCTATGGAAGTTGTGCTTGCCACTTGGAAGGATATACAGCATTTGACACACAAATTGCATACCTTCATGGCGGTGCACAACAAACTCTGGGAACAGCATTAGAGGCCTTATCTATAATCTTCTAGAATTTCAGGTCATTCTGGACATGAGGCATATATGCAAAAACCCTAGGACGAGAAAATAGGAATGTTCTTTATGAATATTCCTGGAGCTCTGTCAACAGACATTGTGCGGAACAGCCTTGATGAGAGTTTTTTCCCCTGATATACAACCTGTCCCTCACAAAACCCGAACACAATGCTAAAACCCCAGTGCTGTCATCCATTCCTATCAAGCGGCATCAGCCTCCCAGGCTGTTGAAAGTTCTGTAAAATATGTTATATATTATTTGGAATAATTTTTAAAGCAGTTTCTCATCCCCTGTTTGGATAAGTGCATGTAAGGCTGGGGAGTTATACAGATCTGATTGTCGAACAGGACTCTGGAAGAGTGCGTGTGTTGATGCAGTACCTGTAAAGTGCCCAGGAATTAAGAAAATACTTTTTTTTTTTATTACAGAACATTATTTTTAGCATGTTAATGTTTTCTCCAAATGGATTAATATATCCACAGGAAAATAGAAGCCCATGACTGGAAAAAGTAAAAACACATGGTTTATGAGCTAGGTTCTTCGGGGTTTCTATTCCCACAGTCATTTTACAAGCAGCAGAAAGGCTGGTGAGAATTTTCACCCTTCAGTGACCAAGGAAAATGACTTGATAAATCTTAAGACATGCAACTGTTCAGAAAAGTCATTCTGGTGATGACAGGATTTCTTACTGCTTCTTTCTCTGAGAAATATGTATGTTATGAAAGCAAGTGACCTGTTCATGGCTTACATTCTAAATAGTTGATTTTCACAATTTTCCTTCCCTTTGACATGGTGGTCTAACTTTTCCATATAGGTTAACTAGCATAACAGCTTGAAATATGACTGTACTTGTTGAGGCAATTTTCAAATACAGAGAAGAAGACAAGCTTGACTCAAATATTGTCTTCTCTGCTCGAGATAACTAGGTAGAAATAATCAACTTCCTCAATTAAGTGAAATATGAGAATTCTTTCTTCCTGCTTACTACTGTGTGTTTGAATAACGGTTTGGAAAAAAAATAGAAGGAAAAGTAAAAATCTGCCATTCAGGAATTCAAGGCTAAGTCCCACATGTGGAATGGAACTAACCTATGTCTCACTTCAGGCCAGGAACTGACTGACTAGGGGACAGCTGTTCAACAAGACTTCCAACTTGAACATTGCATCAGCAGTGCAGTGTGCCTTTGTGACAATGCCATTTAGCTACTTACTGTGATGTATTAGGAAAAACATAACAACCATGGCAAGAGAAGTGATTATTTGCCTCAGCACAGATGAGGTTGCATCTAGAAAAAAAATCTCGGATTGAGCTCTTCAGTACAGGGGAGACAATGATGAAAGTGGAGCAAGTACAGTTAACAACCACTATGATACTTAGTGTTCTGGAGAACATGAGACATGAGGAGAGTCTGAGGATGGCTAGTTTATTCAGCCTGGGGGAGATATAATCACTATTTTCCAATACCCATGGCAGGGTTGGAGTGGGGGGGGCAGTGGCGAGGAAAAGGGGGAGTCAAACTCTTCTGCAAACAACACAGTGAAAAAGAGAGGCAACAGAAACATGTAGCATCAAGGGAAATTCTGTGGTTCAGGCTCAGGACTAGAATGGGGAATCTAGGTTCTTCGAGATGTTCAGGATTCGCCTGAACAGCTTGATCTGGCTTTGGAGTCAATCCTGCTGTGAGCAAGGGTTTCTAGGACATAATTCCAAAGCAGAAACTGCCAGAGGTCCCTTCCCAGCTAAACATATGTATAACTGCAACTATGCAACTAGATTAAATTTCCCTCCCCCTTGAATCTTGTCTCTAAAACAATTGTTTTTTCAAGGTAACAAAAGCCCAATTTCGAGAATGGTTAAAAAATGATAATTTTGGTAATGAAACATTTAACATATTTTGGTTAAAAATTCAATGAAGAGTATCAAAGTACCACTTCCCTAGTACTGATAAACTATTGCTAATCTGTAGTGAAGTTCCAGTCGATGGAAGAAGAGAAGAGGGAAAAACTCCCTGCTTTTGTGTCCTTCCTACCTTTCAGGAGAGGAATTGATCTCAGCTCATGCCTTGCTAGACTTATTCTCATTCTTCCCAGATGTGTTTGACTGATTGTGTTGTTCGCCAATTATTCCTATAAAGAAGACTGAAGCAATGGGGTTCTGTCACTTCTCTGGGAAGCACATACCACTATAAAGGCTTTGTATTGTTTCATTATTAATCCTCAGAGCAATCCTTGAAGCCTGAAGGCTGGTCGCTAATTAGGATTTCAGTTTGACTGTCAGACAGCCTTTGCTGGCGTTGAGGCTGTGATTCCACGTGTGTTTGTTTAAATATTGTAACAATGTCACAGTATTTAAACAACAACAGAACTTCAGGGCACCAAAGTTGCACAGCCCAGCCTTGCTTTTCTTTGTACAAAGGATCTGCTCTCTTTCTAGAAAAGTTACGTCTTTCTACACAGCATTCCAGTGGTGGTCTCAGAAGTGGTGCCACCTCATTCACCCGTTTCTTACCCAAACATCTGCCTCATAATACCCAGCTAGAATTGCCATGGCTGATAGGTGAGGTAAGAACAGTTCTGACAGGTGTGTTAGTGGTCTGCAAAAGATGAACATACAGTTTTGTCCAGGACACAGAGCTGAGCAGCATGGACCTCTCTCGGAGAAGAGCCCCAGGATATATGTATTGATCAGCATACTATCGCAGTGCTCTAATTTGTTTGGTTTGTTTGTTTGTTTGTTTCTTCCTCATTGAAATGGCAGCAAATCTGATGCCAGATGGAAAAGGTACCAGATATAGACAGATGGATGTGAACTTCTCAGGCCTGCAAAAACTTGAGAGTTTCACAGGAGTACACTTACTTTGCACAAAACTTGTGTTTCTTTCTTCCCACTGGGCTGGGAAGTCTGCATGGATGAGGTTGCCTCCATGCTAAAGAGGCAGAAAAAACATCCAGAGCAACATATGTGGGCAGATTCAATGGCTTGTTGGTCTGAATGGGAAATCTGTTTACACAAATATCTACAAATGCAAAGACAGATGCAAAAAATAAGATGACTGAAAATTATCCTAATGCTAATAAATCCACCTAGATTTGCTAACCATGCAGAAAGGAATCCTGCATGTCAGTTTCCATGCAAAGGCTCAAGATTTAGGTTTTGAGGTGATTTATTTTTTCGAAGCAAACATAATGAATTTGGTCTGAGATAGGAACAATAGTCTATTTTTTTTTTAACACTAAAATCTGCAAAGAGTTTGCTGAGCTGAGAAATGTCTGGCATGACTCAGCACATACAGGCCTACCTCCGATGACTACCTCAAATGTTTCTCTCAACTTGAAACTCCCAATCTTTGTTGTGACTGTGAGATCCTGGACAGTTTCATGGGGAGGACAAGTCAGCCAGTCTACTGCAGCAAAACCAGATGCCCACAAGGCAGCAGCAGAGATCTGAGTGGAAAACAGGAACGGCTTGAGGAAATTCCTCTCTGACTGAGCTCGGGATAGGAAGACTTGCTCAGTATATATCTGTTTGGAGACGAAGTATATGTGGCAACCTCAATTAAATACAAACTATTTGAACTACGTTTTAGTTCAAACTGCTGTAAAAATCAATCTAACCTGATCTAAAGTCTCATCTTTAGCTAAGCTGTTGGCATCTCGATATAAATCAGACCCTAAATAAGAAATGTGCACAGGCTTTAAGAGGCCAGTTTTACAACCTTGGAATGCAGCTTCATCCACCGCTATGTCAGGGACTTTGTCCATAAAACTGTATACCTTGTTCTCATTCCCAGTCTTGACTCCACACTGGCTCAATGAGTCTCACCTCATTTGAAGATGGTACTTTATCAACTATCGGAGCTCTTGTAATAGAAAAAAAATAAGCGCAGCCTTCTTCCTCTGCCTGATCCTATTACATTTACCATAACTGTGCCATACCATTGGCTCCTGAATCCCACAGTACAAACTTCTTCCCTGACTATTACAAACATCATATCCAGGTAGTTACATATTGTGCCCTCCAGAAATAACGTTCAGTCAAACAAGAGTTGAGTCAATGTGTTTCTTCTTGCAGTCCATTCAGGTTTTCATTTTGAGTCTTATTTTATGTTCATAACTAACTTTTCAACAAGACGCAACTGCTGAAATGTTATGTGCTGACAGAAAGATGACTGGTTTGCAAGAACTATTACAAAGACTATGCAGGTGTCCATAGGCTGTGGTTCATGTGTTTTGTGAAGACGAGTGTTCTCTATTTTTATTTCCACAGCTTGGGTGGAGGAAGTTCATGCTGCTAGTGCGTGCTAGGGGACTAGCAGCAAAAAAGCAAGTTTTGCCCAAGAAGATCTGGAACATAATGACTCACCTTGGAAGAAAAGAAGAATGTCTTGCTCTACATAATTATTTGCATTTTGAGGCACTCAAGGGCACTTTGAAAAGAGTTTTCAGGCATTCCTCTCTCACTGCAAAAATCCTGCCACCTTTGGACAAAACACGTTACATTCTTCCATAACTAAAAAATTCACATACATATATGAGCAGATGATTTCAGCTTGTTCTCAAGAATCTGAAGCCACAATAGAACTTCCCAGG